TTCAAAGACCACAAATTATTCGCCATAACAATCTCCAACTATAATGACTGTTTGATCACGTGTTCCTACAACTCTGACTGTTTGTCTGTGGTACAGGAGGGAGTAGAACTATGTACCGGATATTCAGTCGTGTTCCGGAACGATTCCTCAGCTGTATATAACAGTCATGCTGACTATTACACCTTTTCACAAAGTAGGCTTTATAACAATTTGAAAAGGAAATGAGTTGACATGTTACTAGATTGCTTGTTAAATAATCCTGACACAGAAGGAAAATGCCAGGAGCGTCAGGGATGGGCGAATGGGTCTGGGCACACTATTTTATTGCTAAAAATTTGTTTTAGTAGATTTTTTTATTTTTGACGGTTGATCCTTTATTTGTCCGTGGGCCCTCCGTTACGCACCCTCCCTGTGTTTATACCCTCAAAATCCTGGAACCACCACTGAGCGTTTGGTGGTCTCATGTAACATATTCTGGGGCGGATCCAGGGTTTTCGAAAGGGGGCGTAATTCCAGAAAACGGAATATATACGGCATATAAAACCGAGCGGAGCGAGGAGAAATTTCTTTTTGGCCGATTTTATGCCAAAAATATAATTATATTTTTTCCGATCAAAGTTTAACGTAGGTCCTCTACGCCACCAACCCCCTGAATCCGCCACTGAATTATTTGTCCGTGAGTTTTTTCGTTCCGTTATTGACTTAAAAAAGGCGGGTATTTTAGACATTTGCTGTCCCGAAATAAAAATGTTATATAGTCAAAACAGACGCAGATTGCCTTTCACGCTTGTCTGTTTGCAAGGGACTGTCTTCCAAATGTTATGGTGACTTGTCGAATCGAAAGTTTCATGTGTTTGTTTGGCATGTTTTGTCTCGCTAATCTTATGGTGATTTATCGAAGCACGGTAAACTCGAAACAGAATATAGCCTCGTGCGTCTTTTTGCCGTGGACTGTCTCCGTAATGTTTTCAACATTCGACTGCCAATCGTTTCTGGACGCCCGGTACTGTCTCCCACATGTTTCAATGTTGGCCTATCTTTCAAGGAAATAATTGTTCATGATATATAAGCTCATGTATGCATAATTCTCCTGTTTTACCTTTAAATGATTGAAACAGCCTCTTTCTGACTAGGCGTACATGCATTTTTCCATGAAAGTTGAAAGGAAAAGTTCATATACAGTTACTGTGCTTTGTTTTTTGAGCGATAATTTAACATGAATCCAACGATTTATCTTTCGTTGATATCATAAAGTGTAGAATTGTATGCAACTAAAATGTTGGTGTATTTGCTTCTCTCCGTCTGAATAGTCATTCTAGAGAAGTTTTTGTCTCTCCGTCTGAATAGTCATTCTAGAGAAGTTTTTGTGCAAAGTAATATAAGCTTTAACTATTGAGAATCATGACGGTCCTTCTTCAATTGTTATAATTTCTACAATTCTTGATCTTGAATGGATATTTTAATTTTAGTTCATTTATATGTTTCGGAGTTTAGTGTGACGTCCATTTTCACTGAACTAGTACACATTTTTTATTAGGGCAAGCTGAAGCCCGCCTGCGGGTACTGGATTTTCTCGCTGTGTTGAAGACCCATTGGTGGCCTTGGTCTGTTTTCTGCTCTTTGGTCGGGTTGTTGTCTCTTTGACACATTCCCCATTTCGATATTCAATTTTTTTATCATGTTTCTATGTAGACACCACTCGTTGTTCAAATCCCTAACTACCTGAACATACAAATCAAACACGTTTGTCTTAATACTCATTTTTTGTTAGCAATATATGTACTTGTAAGCGTGTGTCTCGATCTGCGTGTCGACATTCCAAGGAATGACTGGGGTATAGAGAAATTGTCATCCATTGACTCCCCCCCTCAAACCATACTAAAGAGAGGCATCTGTTTGACTGATTGGGATGCATAAATACGCAGCCACGTGCGGTCGGAATGGGATCGTTAAATGCTTCGTATAGAGAAAGGTGCAATGCTCGCTACACTTTGAAGAACCCTTGCAAAAACTCTTAGAAGAGTCGGTATGTGACCTGTTGCAAGATAAAAATTCTGTCCCTAGCCAGCATCATCTCATTCTGCAGTTACATTCGTAAATCCCGCCTTTTATACTTGCCACTGAACGTTAAACAACCAACAATCGATCAATCAATATACATTTCGTCTCGGGAGAATATTTTAGTTCCTGGCCCATGATATGAAACTTGACATTGTTACACTATTGTTTCAGAAAAAGGGTGAAGGTTTGGTACCATTTAAACGTTTAAACCCGCTGCAATTGTTTGCAACTGTCCTAAGTGAGGAATCTGATGGTCAGTAGTTGTCGTTTGTTGATGTGGTTCATAAGTGTTTCTCGCTTCTCGTTTTTTATATAGATTAGACCGTTGGTTTTCCTGTTTGAATGGTTTTACACTAGTAATTTTTTGGGCCCTTTATAGCTTGCTGTTCAGTGTGAGCCAATGCTCCGTGTTGAAGACCGTACTTTGACCTATAATTGTTTACTTTTATAAATTGTTACTTGGATGGAGAGTTGTCTCATTGGCACTCATACCACATCTTCTTATATCTATTGAGAAATATCAGTTAAATTGGTTTTAAATTATTTTATTAACGTTTTACTTCTTGTTTGGTGAGGGTGTCAGGAAAACTCCCTGGCCTGGGGCTGAAAAAGATATTAGTTTTCAATGATTATATTTATATGCAATAATTACATTAATACGTAATAATAACATGCATATGCTCATTTTGATATAAAAGAATCATTCGTCACAACTCGGCTGATTCCGTATGGAAGGAGAGTAGCGGATTCACCCGATGATTGCCGATTGATAAAAGAATAAGGTGTTGTAATAAATACGTTAATACGTAATAAATACATACATATTCATATTTTGATATATAAGAATAAGGATTTAAAGTAGGATTGCAAATGAAACAACTTTCCAACAAACACTAAGGGATAATGATGTAAACAACTACAGGGTCATCGTACAGCATTCAACAATGATCAAAACCAATACCGTATGGCAATTCCAAAATATAAAAAAAATCCGAAGCGAAAAGTAACACGCGATAATATAATATGGTAATAAAACCATATAGCAGAAAAAAGAGATAAGATACAAAGGGGGGGGGGGGGGGGGGGGGGGGGGGGGGGGGGGTGCCTTTCCCAAAATCCCAAGATATTATAAAGTTCACGCCAATGTATATATTTCCAAGAGAAACGTGCGCACAATGCGTGCGCATGACACGTGTTTCTGGAATAATCTTCACTAGGAACTCCCATGGTCCGGAGGCCAAATATAGATAAAACGTTTGCAGCATCATAAACAAATGGGCCTAAACAGTACAACGATAGTTGTTTAAATTCTGGTTGTTTCCTTAGTAGTTTACATTTGACAGGTGACTGTTTTCCGCCATACGTGCAAATGTCAGTTACCGGGCCCTGTATGAAGTTATACACTGATTCCCTGCTGGACTTGTACAGTGCTGGTGAGATTTGTAAATCAGATGGCGGTTTCCTGATCAGTATATAGACGAGGCATCGAAACAGGCAGATATAGAGGACTTTTTGAACAGTCCAGGGGGTGAGTTAACTTAAAATAAACAAATTATCATGCAGTTTTGTATTTTGTATGAAAAAGACAACCCCCATAATTATAAATGTTATATCATTTTCAGTGTTGGAAAAGCTTCTATGGATTTACTTTAATAGTACAAAGGATCTTTACTTTTTGATTAAAGTAATTTGAATTTATTTTGTAGTTACAAATGATCACAAATGTATACATCAATAGCATATTTATGAATTGAATTTAATAAAATCATTACTCGATCTTGGATTTTCCTATTGCCTTAAATTGCTCTTCGAGTTTAAATCAGACGTTATTTTCTAGTTTAAGATAGTTTAAATTTAGAGTGTCTGGGTTAACATTTAAATCAGATGTAGTAGGTATAATACCACCAAATCATAGTACGTCACATCCGGTTTCAAACGAAAAAGGGTCGAAAAAAATACTAATAATATTTCTGAGTCATAAACATGTATATCTTGTGTGTTTCAAAGCACCATTCTTTTTTTATTTGGTGTTTCTATAAAATATTTTGGAAACTTGAGGTTACATGGTTACTATAAAGCTTGTAAACAGGAAAAAATTTAAAGGGTGAACATTTGATTGGTTATTATCTTATATACAATGAAATGTCAAGTGAAATTTTGTCTGTAGTACTGGACAGGATAAAACTTTACTCATGCAAAGTATTTCATTATTTGAAACAAAGATAAATTCTGCACAATTTTTTGAAAAGTGCCAATTTAACAAAGAGTAATAGGGGAAAATCAATGGTGGTATTACTCCTAGTATAGACCCGGGCTGCTAAGGGAGGTAACAATTGAAATCAGAAATGCCTCAATAGCCCGTTTTATCAATACCTGTCTATCAATTAAGCACTCATGTGATACAGTTTTCAATAATTTGTGTTACAAAGAAACTCCGAATATATTTATGACAATAATAATCCCAAACGTTATTATTATAGTTTTAGATAACGTTAACCTGACCATAGGATTTCATACCAAAGGGTACAAGGCTGATAATATATGGAGGTGGAATGAGGTGGAATGATGAACCATCAGGAATCCTTAGCTACACAAACTGAAAATACGACGAACCACAGTCTGATATCAACAAGACTTGTATGAACCAAATAAACAAGGTCTGTTTCAAATGGAAGGCATCAGAGTGTACCTGGGAGACGTATTTTATTTGCGAAAGACTGCGTCTATAGTAATTATTTTCAAGTTATCTCCCATTCTTTGTTTATTTACTAATTATCTCCCTTTCTTTGTTTATTTACTAATTATCTCCCTTTCTTTGTTTATTTTCAAGTTATCTCTATTTCTTTGAAGTAGATATCTGTAATATTATGTCTATACTGAATCAGATAATGATCATGACGTTTGCCGCTAGTGGAGCAGGAACTGCATACCTTTCGGGGCTCATTAGCTTTTTGGTGGGTTTCGTGTCGCTCAATCTTTACTTTTCTGTATCGTTTTGTGGACTGTTGTTTGTCTGTTCGTCATTTTCTTCTGGCAATAGTAGAGTTCCGAGATAGTTGTTGTATTGAAAAATTCGTATCACATGACATTTTTCTATGCACATGCCTAGTTTTTTAATTACACAGACAAACTACGCAAATGTAATGATTTGAATAGATTTCCACTTAAAAAAGTCGACCACCCTGTTCTATAGCTTTTATGCAGACGATGTTGTATTGATAACAAAACTGTTATCACGTGGCTTGCGTGTAAAATGAAATGGGACATGGTAAAACGGACGAGAGCGTAGCTATAATCCGACACCCAGAAATCCCGACAGTCGTGGTCCGATAGTCCGACGGTCCGTTAACCGAAAGTCCGTTAATCCGACAGTCCGATTGTCCTCAGATATGAGAAGCATACATCTAATACATGTGACATTTTACATTCAACCACATAATACGATACATGCACGCGCAGTCGCATGTATGTAAACAGACATTCTCGCTATCAACTTCGACATGATGAACAGGAATGAAATCTTTGATTAATTATTGAAACAGTATAGGATTTAATTTGGATCCCATTATACACATTCCACTTTTTAAATTTTAAACACTGCTCGCGTTTCGACAGTATACTAATAAGCTTAAATGAAGACGAGATCCATATCCTTTGCAGCAGCACGGCTTCGTGTCGGACCATCGGACGTGGGACTTTGGACCGTCGGAAAAATTGGGGTGTGAGATTATAGCAACGCTCCGAAACGGACTATCTCGGAACTTAGGTATGGTGTTTGTTTTTTTTTCTGACTTATGGTTTTTGATTGACCCCATGGTATATTCTCCTCTTTTACCAAAGCAGCACATTAAGCACGCTGCTGTATATGACCATTCCCATGTTTAACTGATGTCAATAGTTTCGTAGCAACAAAGAGAGAGAGACAAATATGATGGGAGCGAGGGAAAAAAGACAAAAACAACTTTTGAATTGTTACACACTGTATATTACCCTCTCGATGTCTTATTTTTCACTTTGCGTTGATGTCTCAATCATTGACCTATACCCAACATGTCTTTTTATTTATATTTACATCACTGCGGTTTATTTTGTTTTTTTATTTCTGTTCAGCATCATATTTGCCAAGTTAATTGTTATCAAATAACTAGAAATAAAATGAAGCATTGTTTTATCTGTGAAAATATCGAAACCATCAGTAAATCAATGACAGACGTTAATAAGTGTTTTCGGGAAAAATATGCTTTTTACGATGTAAACATAGTTTAATAGATGTCAACAAATGTTTTCAACGTATTACAAATACCACCAAGCGACAAAAAAATGTACAACTTCGTATATATATATATACTGTTAGGACTACTAGTACATTCTTTTCACAATGCTTGACAAACAAGAGATATATAGATTCCACCACTGCAAAAAGTGTGTTACGATATTTCTCCACGCGAGACTGTTAAATTCTAATATTTAAAGCTCGAGGCTTGCCGAGCTTTTTAAATAATTAAAATTTAACTGTTGAGAGTGGAGAAATATCGTAATACACAGGTTATAGTGGTGGAATCTCTAATGATTTATAATTTTCCTTTTCAAAGATTTGCAGATAGTTGTGTTCTTTATATGTGACGTCATCAGGCACGGTCGCCTTTTTTCATGATTAAATAGGTCACAATAAGAAATTCAGAAGAAACCAAGAAAATTTGACGTCATAATATGTCACTAGTGAGGAGAACAATTTTTTCACAATCGGTTGGAAAATGTGAAAATAGACAACAACAAAAGAGAAATTTTATTCTAACTTCTAGTATATTCAATTTGTAAATTTTTATTATTGTTTTGATGTTAAATATTGAATTAGAAAGAGGTCTACTTTATATATATATATTTAAGATTGTTTAGCTATTGCTTTTTAATACTCTATTAAATGTAGTGCACAAATAACTTTAAGAACTTTCTTCGTTTAGAAGTCGACTACTAGTCAAAACAACCAACGGGTAGATGAATGCATCGTTTTGCTAAAACAAGAATATATGTTCATAGGTCACCACACCCCGCTCGAAATATCACATTTCCATGTTCTAGGAACCGAGAAATTGGTGTCAAAACCATAATTTGGCATAAGATTTAAAAAGTTCACATCACAAATTACTAAGTTTAAAGTTAATGTGACCACAACAGTTACTGTATGGTAAACTACTTTAACTTGATATGGGACGGAATAAAGGAAGGACGGACGCACAGGCCAGAAAACATAATGTCCCCCGGCACCCACCCTACTTTCACAGGACTATTCATTGGGAAGCCGACTTCTATTCAAACCGACCAGCAGTGTTACAATGTAGATAAACATATTGTTACAAAGTAAGAAAACCTTATCCTTGTGAACCTTTTCCGTGTGTTCCATGCTGTGTTCTTCCTTCGTCTGGTACCAACATGAAACCAGTAAATGATGTGTAAATCTCATCAGGCTGTCCGTACAAGAAGTCATCTGTGTGAGCCTTGATGTGAACAGTGTCTTCTGTCGAGAAATAAAACATCACATTTAATAAAATTTAAGCATTCTATAGATAGGATGATAATTTGTCAAAGGTGCTTGTCTAGATCACAGTGAAGCATGACCTTTCACCAGGTAGTGAGACAAGAGATATATAGAAAATATCCCCTTTAAAGGTGTTGGCGTAGGCTCTTGTGCAAAATATACTTGATACAAACTATGGGCTTTGCTCATTGTTGAAGGCCGTACGGTGACCTATAGATGTTAATTTCTGTGTCATTTGGTCTCTTGTGAAAAGTTGTCTCATTGACAATCATACCACATCTTCTTTTTTATATATATGGGACAGCACAACGGACCACACCAATCACCAGAAACCTAATCTACCAAACAATTAGATGTATAAACAAAACAATCAACAAATAACAACACATGGTCACATGACTTCTTACAGACACAGCATGTCGTTGGGTTAACAACACATGGTCCATAAACATGACTTCTTACAGATACAGCATGTGGTTGGGTTAACAACACATGGTCACATGACTTCTTACAGACACAGCATGTGGTTGGGTTAGCAACACATGGTCCATAAACATGAAACAGCATGTAGTTGGGTTAACAACACACGGGCCATAAACATGACTTCTTACAGACACAGCATGTGGTTGGGTTAACAACACATGGTCCATAGACATGACTTCTTACAGAAACAGCATGTGGTTGGGTTAACAACACAAGGTCCATACACATGACTTTTACAGACACACCATGTGGTTGGGTTAACAACACACAGTCTATAAACATGACTTTTTACAGACACAGCATGTGGGTGGGTTAACAACACACGGTTCATAGACATTACTTCTTACAGACACACAATGTGGTTGGGTTAACAACACACGGTCCATAAACATGACTTCTTACAAACACAGCATGTGGTTGGGGTAACAACACATGGTCCATACACATGACTTCTTACAGACACAGCATGTGGTTGGGTTAACAACACATGGTCCATACACATGACTCACAGACACAGCATGTGGTTGGGTTAACAACACACGGTCCATAGACATGACTTTTACAGACGCACCATGTGGTTGGGTTAACAACACACGGTCCATAAACATGACTTCTTAGAGACACAGCATGTGGTTGGGTTAACAACACACGGTCCATAGATATGACTTCTTACAGACACAGCATGTGGTTGGGTTAATAACACACGGTCCATAAACATGACTTCTTACAAACACAGCATGTGGTTGGGGTAACAACACATAGTCCATACACATGACTTCTTACAGACACAGCATGTGGTTGGGTTAACAAAACACGGTCCATAAACATGAATTCTTACAGACACAGCATGTGGTTGGGTTAACAACACACGGTCCATACACATGACTTTTTACAGACACAGCATGTGGTTGGGTTAACAACACATGGTCCATACACATGACTTCTTACAGACACAGCATGTGGTTGGGTTAACAACACATGGTCCATAAACATGAATTCTTACAGACACAGCATGTGGTTGGGTTAACAACACATGGTCCATAAACATGACTTCTAACAGACACAGCATGTGGTTGGGTTAAAACAGTTTTAAATCAAGCACAGTCCTCAACGTATAAGAAGGTCAAAGGCCAGATCAAAACAGGACAATACTTACAAATAAGGAGAACAACTTGGTCTGCATAAAAAAACACACGCACATAACAAATACTACCAAATGCCCCTGTCATCACCAATATATAGTGACAATTTAATTACTAGTAAGGAGCCTTAAGATTTCACTTGCTGGTAGGCTTTTGATTTAAAATATTCACTGTATTGCCTGGGAAGTCATATGAAAAACTCAAATACATTGTATATCTATTTTACAAAATAAAAAGAAATGGGATTCATCATCGAGAGGTTAACCATGTTTATGCCAGGAGTAATACAGCGGGTGTCAGTATTGAAACAGGAAATGCTAACCCTTCCGGAGAACCCGTATTAATCCCGGTAATATAATTGAGTACGTGGTTTTAGCTATAAATCTTAAATTGTTCTGTGTAGTATGTTGCGGACTATTATTTCTCGTTTTGTCTTTTATTTTTTACTATAGTGTTGTCTCAGTTTTATTTTGACATATGATTTTTTATTGTACTTGTATATTTTCTCTTTCCTGTTTTATAAAGAATTTTCAGGTGTCACGATATGCAGCCTTCCAAAGCTGTTAATGCATACAGTTTGTACAGCAGTTTGTCTCGAAGTTTTGACAACAAACATAGTACGAGATGGCATATTAAGCTTTCCAGAATTGATGGCAAAAAAAAAATGGTATGACAACTAAACAAACCAGACTACTTACTTTGATCCAGACCAAGAATGGCAGAATTACTGACACTGCCATAATCAAATGTCACGTGATAATATGAACCAATCAGACTACTTATTCATCCAGACCGAGAATGACATAATTACTGACACTGACATAATCTGATCACGTGAGAATATGAACCAATTAAACTACTTACTTTCATCCAGACCTAGAATGACAGAATTACTGACACTGCCATAATCAGACGTCACGTGAGCATAAGAACCAACAATATAGTCATCATTTCTGTACAAATCCAGCTGCAGTTGCTTGTTCTGTTGAGCTAAGGCATAGTACATAAAAACGTAGGTACCAGTTCTTGGACTGGTAAAAATTCCATTTGTGTTGTTGTATCCCCCACCAAGGTTAAGGAACACTCTATCGAATGGAACTGTATCATTGTGCGAGGCATGAAGTGTCGCGAGTTGTGTCAAACCTGCTGAGAATGCCACGAACTTATTTGTGTGTGCCACTCGAAGGAGGTGATGCGGTATTACTGAAATGAAAAGATAAGTATTAAAAATATCTTTTTTTCGTGCAAGCATATATAAGCAGGTTTAATCAACCATTTTCTACATATGGAAATGCCTGTACTAAGTCAGAAATATGACAGTTGTTTTACATTCGTTTGAGCTCTTGATTTTGTCATTTTGAATTTTCCTTGGAGTTCGGTATTTTTGTTATTTTACTTTTTTCTTTTTTTTATAACCCATCATGACATTATGACATTAGAATATAAGATGTTGATGACGGATTGGTTTGAACGTCCAGTGACAAATATAAGATGGTGATGACGGATTAGGTTGAACGTCCAGTGGCAAATATAAGATGTTGATTACGGATTGGTTTAAACGTCCAGTGGCAAATATAAGATGTTGATGACGGATTGGTATGAACGTCCAGTGACAAATATAAGATGTTGATGACGGTTTGGTTTGAACGTCCAGTAGCAAATACAAGATGTTGATGACGGATAGGTTTGAACGTCCAGTGGCAAATATAAATTATATACATATCAGCACAGGTTGACATGATATGAATATGAACACTACTTTGCACAAGACTGTTAACGAAAATAAACAAACAGAAGTTTTATAGTAAGTAATAAATGATACCATGATCTCCTGGCATCAAAGGAAAAAATGCATCAGTATGGTGTAGCACGAAAATCAATACTATTAAACCGGAAAATCTTAACATCTGAAAAGAGAAAATAAACGTGGAGATCACCTCACGCATTCTTTGTTTGTATAACTACATTTTGACAAAACTATAGGGAAACAAATCAATTAAAAAATAATTATCCTCCCAAAAAACTAATAAAAAAAAAATTTAAAAAAAACAAGTTACAAAAATAATTGAAAGATTTTCGAATATACCGAAAAAATGACTAATATAAAAATAAGGAGATGTGGCATGATTGCCAATGAGACAACTATCCATCAAAGTTCAAATGAAGTGGATGTAAGCAATTGTAGGCAACCGTGCGGCCTTCAACAATGAGAAAAACCCCTTCCGTATGGTCGGTTAAAATAGGGGGGCCACGGTGGCCGAGTGGTCTAAGTAGTTACTTTTGTAATCACTAGCCAGTCAACACTAAGGTTGTGACTTCGAACCCCGCTCGTGCGGGTGCACTCGACTCAAATCTTAATTGACTAGGATTGTCAGTTTTCCTATCGAAGGTCGGTGGTTTTCTCCGGGCACTCCGGCTTCCTCCACCAATAAAAACTGGCCGCCACGAAATAGCCCAAAAGCGGTGCTTAAAAGTGGCATTAAAACACCAAAAATCAAATCAAATCGGTTATAAAAGGCCCCGACATGAAAAATATGCAACAATTCAATTGAGAAAACTAACGGCCTAATTTATAACAAAACAATTTACGAAAAACAAATATGACAGACATTAACCAACGACAACCACTGTATTACAGGCTCCTGGCTTGGGATAGGCACACAAAGAATGTGGCGGGGTTAAACATGTGTGTGGGCGCTCAACACTCCTCCTAACCTTGGACAGTGGTGTAACAGCACAATAAAAGAACAAACTATAAAAATCAGTTGAAAAAGGCTGAACTCATCAGACATGTCAGATCGATACAAAGAAAAACATCAAACAAAAACACAGTCAGGACGTGGTAGGGTATATAATGCAGCTTGTCCTGACAATAACCTCATTATTGGGAGCAATTTGAAATAAAAATAATTATCAGGTTGAAGTATTTCAATAAAGCATGTGTCAATATTGACACTATTTAATCATAATTCATTCATCCTGAAAAATATAAACTTATAGCAAACGAGGTCGGGATTAGCATATTCTGATCTCTTCAAATATCTGATATGTGGTACTCATTTTAGGGAAAATAATCCAGATTTATTGCGGTTTCGGAACTATACACATATCTTAGAGAATCAATCGTTTGTGATATCAGCATCATCTATGTTGACTTCATATGTTGAAATCATCTATAATACTAAAAGAGCGAGGTCCAATTTGTTAGCCGTCATGAAGTAAATAAAGGCAACAGTAGTATACCGGTGTTCAAAAGTCATAAATCGATTGAGAGAAATCCGGAGCTATAAGAGGAAAACAAAGGAACAACAGGAACACCAAAGTGCAACAATAACAAACGCCAACACACATAGAAACGGACTATTTGATTACAACTGATCACAACTGCCATATTCCTGACTTGGTACAGGACACTTTAAGAACCTGGTAAACACGACGAATCAAATAATTCAATTTTATATATAACTAATATAGGACAATGGTGTTGATTAAAAATTTCACCATTCCAGGCACTTTTGTTTTCCACATAATTAATATTGCCAATAATTAACAAGTTCCGGGTCAAATCCGATACCGATACCAGTAGTATATTTCACATGTATGTATATTCTGTATCTTCCTTTTCTCTGCAAAAATGTCCACGTCTGCTCTCAACGCACGAACCAACATTCCTGGTTGTAGTAAGAAAACTAGGACTGGTCTAAACAGAAAGATTTTGAAAGCAGAGAAAACTGTGCACCGTATAATCAGCATGACTTTATCAGATGGCTATACGAATACTAAAAATCCCGGCTTAAAAGGTGCTATAATTCAGTCACTGACCCGCGATGTCGCGGGTGTGTTCTAGTGAATGATGATAGTTCGATGTTGATTCTGAATGTTGCCGAATAGAACCGGAGTTTACCGAAGTCATTTGAATTGTTAACCAGGATACTTTTTAGTTAATAATAGTCTGTGCTCATTATGGTATACATGCCTTATTATAGAATACCTAAACATTGAAAGTTAGCATTGGCATATAGCTTGAAATATACGGAAGTTTCGATAGAATACAATTAAAAATACATCATAAGTGTCAGAAAAAAATCTGATCCCAAATTGACTTATTTATAAATTGATATCAAAAGAAAGAAAGGGGACCAAGAGCATACGGAACCAAAAAATAAACAAAAGTATATCTGAAACGAGCTACGTCGTATTGCTTAAATAAAGTTAAGAATTAGAGTATACACCAACATTGTTTAAACCTATCAGCGAAACCATGTAACACAATCTGAACCTAAAAAAATTGAATTCTCAGTAAGGCGAAACAATATAATTAAGGAACTAAATTTTTAAAATAAAATGTGATCGTATACAGAAAAATAACTATGTAAAAATGTAAAAACAATAAAGCAAACTTACCTTGAGGATTTATAGGACAACGCTAATTTGTATGTCTTATCTTTTATCTTGGACTACAGAGGTGTCTGACCCAGTGTGAAAGGTGCCATATGTTTTCTTCAGATATAACAAATTGAAAAGTGTGTAAGGTAAGTTGAGAGTCTTTTTTTCATTTTCTTTAAGCATTTCACCGTAATTTTAAAGTCCAAAATTACAAATGTATGATAACAACAAATCATTAAAGCTGTTGCATGTAATGATATTATATTTCTGCCGCCTTGAAAAAAACCAAATGATAGAACAGTGAAATCAATCGCTTTTTCATCTAGAGTATCTACGTTCATGATTTGCTGTGTATTTGTGGGAGCAACTGTTTATCTTTTGTCTCTTTCGGTCATGGTATTATCTTTCCCTTTTCAACGCAGTGTTTCAAAGTATACTTACACGCTACTTATTACATGGAAAAGTTCAATGTGTACTGAAAAACAATACCTGGCGTAAACTTACCTGCAATAGTAAAAGCTTAAGATCTTAAGACACGTGTTTAAATGAAAATAAAGTGTCATATCTCAATTCTTCCTTGCTAATGATGTTCATAAAGCCCGTAAATTTAGATACGATCCATATAAATCATTTCTGATATTTAGAAAAGTTGTTAGATCTTTAATAGTAGGTGCTAGGAACCGTCTTAAACTTGCAGTGAGGTGAGATTTCTTTTTGTTCCGTGTAAACACTGTGACTTTGAGATGAAGAACAGCGCTGTCACTTTGCTTTTTTTGTGTGTTTTTTGTTGTTGCTGTGCATGTACTGATTCTGTGTCATGGATGAATACGCCATACATTATCCTTTGTTTTTCTATCATATTTTTCAACAATTTATCTAGATTCGGGACAATGTCGTGTTTGACATATTAGACAAATAACTATTGTTTAAGACTTTGTTTACCTTTAGACATCTTTGGTCAAGTATGTCGTTGGTTGCTGTCCAATTGATATATATAATATATATATTTATGTACACGAAGTTATCTTTCTTTCATAGTACTATGCAAAGACAGATTTCTATTCTCAGCTCAAGCGCACGTCAAATTATATTTTAGATTATATTTCAATAGGTCGATAGCTTAATTCTAAATATAATTTAACACATTTTCAAATGCACGAAACAAACGCAATTTTTGGCGCAATCCTTATCTTTGTCTCTGATTTTATCTGGGAAATATTTTCGAGAAAACTCCAATTCGTGAATATGAAGTGAGATTTTGGTAAAATGCGATTCTTGACCATTTTGTTCTTTTCTTCTTCTTAGATAACAGAATGATACTACTTATAGTTCTAGCAGGAGTCTTCGGCCTGGCAATGGCGCAGGGTAGGTACTACTTAGATATAATGTACTACAAATAATAAATACAAGGCCTTATTGTTGAATGTCTTTTTACAGAAACTAGAAAGAAAGTTAGTTGCTACATTTGGTATGAAAGTCTCATGCAAGACTAGGTTACATTATGTAAAGAAAACATTCTCAATAAATTTTGGATTTCATATATACGAATATATAAAATTTTCTATGATATAAACTGGATAAAACAGTTTGTTAAAACCACGCTTCAAAAATAATTTTACGAAAATACCGGGCTATCTGGACCATGTGTTGTTCGTTGTTTCACGTTTGTCTATTTTGTCGCAGAGTCGGCTTTCGGTGGTTGGTCTGGACTGTTGTATTATTCAACATTTAGTTTTGTTATTGTTAATGGCTTTTCAGTGGTTGTCGTTTGTTGCTGTATATTATATTTGATTTTCGTTCATCATTTGGAAACAAATCTGGCCGTTAGTTTTTTCTCCTTTGAATTGCTTTACATTTGTCATTTTGGGGCCTTCTATATCAGACTATGTGATATGGGTTTTGCTCATTGTTGAAGGCCGTACGGTAACCTATAGTTGTTAACTTCTCTGTCTTCTTAATCATACTTAATCTTTTCATCTTTATATCTAATTGTCAAAAAATGTTCTAAAATCTTAAACCTATTTTCTTTTTAAAACACTCAGTTTTGGTGAAATGAATGTTTTCACATCCTTTAAATTTAGAATTTAAAAAACATCACAAACTTCGAATAAAATGTTGAAGCCGCGGATCGTACATTGAGAATGAACATGCATATCATAACATTCTCAATTCATTACCATAAACAGAAAAAAAATGTGTAACTTTACTCTGATTTCTGACGTCATTTATAGGGAAACTGTATCCCTTGATCCTTGGAACCCTCCTTTTTTTGACGATCAATGCATTTGAATGGGGACATATATTTGGAAACCCCCTCCTTTTCTCCTGGGTTGAGCCCCACTTTTAAAAATGGCTGGATCTGCCCCTGTTAAATATACCACCAGAAGCAGGTGCAAAGGTGAAAGTAGATAAAGCGTTCCTACTCTGTCTAAAATAGGTAGGCTTGGATGAGTGTTATTATCTGCATTACAGCCTGAAGCATTATTTCCATTTCAACAGATGACACTAGCGTGTTATTTTT